ACAACTGATACGCACGGCCCACGGACGGCCACACACCACATGCACGGATGCGATATTCTTTTCCCATATAGTAGACTTCCTCTCGCCTTCCGCTCGACACTCTCCCTTTTCCGCATTGACTCTCACCCTCATATCCCATCATCTCTTATACTCTCTCTCTCTCTCTCTCTCTCTCTCTCTCTCTCACACACACACACACACACACACACACACACACACACACACAACAACACACACACACAACAACACACACACACACACACACACACACACACACACACACACACGCAGACATTCTCTCTCTCACTCTCTCTCTCTCTCGCAATATTTCTCTCCACGCATGCACGCATGTACGCACGCACGCACGTACGCACGCACGCACACACATGCAGACATTCTCTCTCACTCTCTCTCTCTCTCTCGCAATATTTCTCTCCACGCACGCACGCATGTACGCACGCACGCATACTATCCGCGAGAGGGAGAGGAAAATACTGAGGGGAATGGAGTGAGAGGGTAGGGGAAAGGAAAGAGGAGAGAAATGAGAGAAGATCCTCCATTCTCTCTCTCTGTCTTTTCTCTTTCACAACGTGTCGCCCTCTCTCGCGGCGTCTCTCTATCCCCATCTGTCCTTCCTCACCCCCTCGCTCATACTATCGCCCACGACATTAAATAGTACGGTGGATGACCACCAGGAGGCTGGCCGTTTTTAAGCTAAAACCTTTTCGGCCCCGCGATGTACAAAATGAGTATTTACGCAAAAAATACGCATTCGTGCGTGCGTGCGACCATGCCTGCGTGTACGCGCGCGGTCGAGTGTGTGTTTGTGTGCTCGTGTGTCCGTAAATACGCGTATTATAGCCGTATTTCCACTTTTTGTGTTGAAGGTGGCGAAAGAATTTTGCCCGAAAATCCGTTTGCTGCTTGATGAAGATTTTCCGTGCTACCAGTGTCGCGAGCGATACCATCCACAAGAGGGGTGAGGAAGAAAACGAGGGACAGGGGAGGGAGAGAGGGAGTAGACAGGCAGAGGGAAAGTCGAGAGACAAAGAAATAGATAGAGAGAAGGGGAGGGAGGATGGGAGGAACGAAGGAAGAGTGAAGGCAAGGTAGTGGGAGAGATACACACACCCACGCACGCATGCACTCACGCGCACACGCACGCACGCGTATTATAGGCACATACCCACATAGTACATTGGAGACGGGAAATTTCTTTCCCCGTCTCTCCGCCTCTTCTCTCGCCTTCTCTTTCTATGTTCCTCTCTTGCGAAACCATCCGCGAGAGGGGGAGGAAGAGAACGAGAGACAGGGGAGAGCGAGAGGGGGTAGGCAGCGGGAAAGTCGAGATACAGAAAGATAGATAAGGAGAGAGGGGAGGGAGGATGGGAGAAACGAAGGAAGGGAGGGAGGGAGAGATACACACATGCACGCACGCACACACACACACACACACGCACACAGGCACGCACGTACGCGTTAGAGAGGTGCGGCATAGCTGCGTGAAACAGATAACCGCGGGGCTTTGCTTATTGGCCATGTACAATTGTCTGGTAGGGGACCATTGTCCGGCTATTATTTTACCATATTATTATTATATTTTATTTTAATTTTTTTCATTTCATTAAATTAATTGTACGTTTTGTCTTATTATACTTTTTTTTTTTTTTTTACTATGGTGACATTGTTTTCATAGGTTACTGCAACTAGCGAAACGCAACAGATGAAAAGCGACGGAATTTTTTTACTAGATCTTGTCCCAACGTGTTTCGGATTATTTGCTCCTTGACGGTGGACTAACCCTTCCCGAAGGAAGTCGGGCTGTTGCCCACTTACCGACATGTGGCGCCACCTCCAATGCTTGAAAATATCGCTTTCCTATAGTTCTCTAGATCTAACTACTACAGCTCGCACATAGCTCGCAATGGTACCCTACTACAATTACCTACTATATAGCCTCTCTCATCCGTTCTCGCTCTCTGTCTCTCGCTCTCTCTCGCTCTCTCTCTTTTCTGTCTTCTGTCTTCTCTCTCTCTTTCTCTTTTCTGTCTCCTGTCTTCTCTTTCTCTCTCGCTCTCTCTCTCTCTCTCTCTCTCTCTCTCTCTCTCGCTCTATCTCTTCTCTTTTATCTCGCGCGCGCGCTCTCTCTCTCTCCCGCTCTATCTCTGTCTCGCTCACTCTATCACTCACTTGCACGCCCTCTCTCTCTTATCTTTCTTCTCCCCTTCTCTATATAGCTCTCTCTTTCTCTTTCTTATCTTTCTTCTCCCATTTCTCTATCCCTCTCTCTCTCTCTCTGTCGCAAACTTATACGGACACGTAACGACTAAAAGCATTTTGTTTGTACAACGGGGTGCGATGCGAGGCCGGGTAGCAGCGGTGTGCGCTATGTTATCGGTGAGTGTAGCAAGCGAGCAGCGAATGATTAACTAAACACTACTCACTGCGTGCGCCTGATCGATATGTAAAACGTGAGCATCAAGCTACTGCCGAGAATGGAAAGTTTCCCGCCCGAACGTGAAAGATCCGTGCGGCTATAATAATAGGCCACACGCGCGACCTGCAGGTGGGGGGGGGGAGGGGGGCTAGAGAACACTACACTGCGTGAACGCGCCGCCCTTGAGGTTAGCACTTTACAGTTTCAACTGTAACGATAAACGAATAAGAACAAGGCTATACGTCGCATTTACGACATTACGCGTTAAAGAAAGCGTCTCGGATTTTGATAGCACATGGCATTTTACACTGCATATAGCATTTTACAACGTTGGCACGATTATACCTAGGCTCCATCGAACCACGCTCGCCGTGTAGCAAACTTCTGTGTCGCGATATCCATATACCAATAATTAATGCAACTGAACAAAGGTGGGCAACGACATTAAATACTATATAAACATATCGCGCAGCGCTCTGTACTCTGTGCAGTGCTGGAGAAATCAATGCCTATTGCTCAGAAATAGCAGCGTGCAGGCACATGCAGAGACTTCAATAGTGATTTCATTAGGAATTTCGAGTAAAAGTAGGATTGTGGCTGATAGAGATACTTTTCTCACTAGCCCTCTCTATTTCTTAATTACTCCCGCTCTCCACCACAATACCAAAGTTTAGAACCCCCTCCTATGATTTATTTCTTTAGCACCAAGATATATTTAGGCCCATAGAATTGACACGTTACGAACGGCCTGATTATGTGAAACTGTCTTCGAAAATCGTCAGCGCGAAGATTTCAACGACTCGCGGCGAAGTCGTTTCCCATAATCGAATGTTTAATTCTAAGCGAAACAAAAATTGTACGCTTCACAGCCGAGCGTGCCAAAATGGCGGCCTAGCGCGCGAAGATGGCCGTGACGAGCGTTCGCGTCAAGGCCGCGCATTTAACGCGTTATACTTATTTAGATATGGTTCTATATTAAATGCAGCCGAGATTGCTTTCAAATGTCAAACGGCTTCGCGGGAGATATTTCGCCGATCGCAGGCATGCACGCGGCGTCGGCAAGCACTCCTAGTGCGTCGGCCGTAACGAGCGTGATAGTTCGCCGGCTCGCCGCGGGGTGGCGCGCTCTTCCAACGGCTTCGTCATTTTAAATTTGTATAAAACGCGTTAAGTCGGGGGTCACTCCGTTATGTATATTGCCGAGTAAAATAAAGAGTCGCCGGCGACGCCATTCGATATTTAGAGGCGAGATGGATGGAAAAAGAATTGATGCAAGGCGCCGGCTTGCCCCTAGTGGAATCCCACGTCCGTCTGATTTCTTCCGAACATTACGACGTGTCCTTCTGAACGGGTTTAAACACACACTTCTTGAAATTAATTCTATAGATGATAAAACACTTCGTGCAGACCGTAACCTACGGGCATGAACTATGCTAGCGCGTTACACAGGGACCTCCGTTAACAACCGCGTTAGAACACTCAGTAACAACAATTTTTTTTAAACCTTTGTAAAAGGTCCATACCGATATACAACACTAAAAGAATCTATTTCTGCGAGGCACAAGATATCGCTGGCATTTTAACCTAAAACAACATAAGAATGCAAAATAAATGTGAAAAGAACAAGTATATGTATAATGCATGTGTACCAATGATGTATTCGCTAATAACATTTCACGTAGCTCGTACAAAACAACTCGCTTTTTCTACGGATAATTCATACAGAGTTTTCAAAGAAGTTTGAAATTACTTGCACTCAATGTCTTTCCGCATATTCCACCTGTGTACGGCATATGAGCAGCAATTAATATGCCTCCACACGCGACCAAGAGTCCACGATACTATACTATATCAGGGGTGTATCAAAAACAAAATGTTGCATTCACTTTACTCATTTGTTCACACTATTTCATCACATTATTCGTGTTTTAGCCAACTCCTAATGCTACAGTATCGCGGACTCCTGATGTAACCTTATCGCGCGGTTGCCTACTATAACATGCTCCTCCGTAAATTCTACACGTGACCTTATCACGGTTGCCCTTTACCCGGCCATTTATCAGGCAACAACAACCGTATCCATGTCACCTATCGGCCCCCTCACTGATCTGATGACCTCGCATTTGCTGTCAGATCTCCTACTAGCGCACACTGCCCGATGCGTGCGACTCTGTCTAGCTATATATCCTTCGCGTCTCAGCTATCCTAGAACACATGAACCAACAAACTAAAGAACTAAAATAAAGGCCGCTGGCCCTATCTACGCATACTACTCGCTCTAATTAATACGTCTCAGTAACAACACAAGTAGCATCACCAGTAACGACAACAACAATATTACCGGTGACGTCACGAGTAATGACAACAACAATATCACCTATGACGTCACGAGTAATGACACCGACGGAATCGCGAGTAGCGTCACATGTGACGTCACGAGTAAGACCACCAACAGCATTACCAATGACGTCACCAGTAATGACACCAGACACATCACCAGTAGCATCACCAGTAACATCCCTAATGAAGACACCAACAGCATCACCAGTAACATTAACAACTACTAACAACACTAGCAACCTCACCCGTAATATCGCCAGCCGGTAATAACTCAAGGATCGTCATCAGTAACGTCCATAATGACACCAACAGCATCATCAGTAATGACAGCAACAGCGTCACCATTAATGACATCAACAGCGTCACCATTAATGACACCAACAGCATCACCAGTAATGACATCAACAGCATCACCAGTAATGACACCTACAGCGTCACCAGTAATGACACCAACAGCATCACCAGTAATGACACCAACAGCATCACCAGTAATGACACCAACAGCATCACCAGTAATGACAGCAACAGCGTCACCAGTAATGACACCAACAGCATCACCAGTAATGACATCAACAGCATCACCAGTAATGACACCAACAGCATCACCAGTAATGACAGCAACAGCGTCACCAGTAATGACACCAACATCGTCACCAGTAATGACAGCAACAGCGTCACCATTAATGACACCAACATCGTCACCAGTAATGACACCAACATCGTCACCAGTAATGACACCAACATCGTCACCAGTAATGACATCACATCATCACCAAGTAATGACATTCAACAGTACCAGCATCACCAGTAATTACACCGCAACAGCGTCACTAGTAATTGACACCAAGCAGCATAACCAAGTAGACCCAAACTGGCATCACCAGTAATACAGCCAACTAGCATCAACCAGTAATGACACCAGCAGCCATCCCCAGTGAATATCACCAGTAACGTCAGCAGGCCAGCAGCATCACCAAGCGCGCTCACCAGCTTAGCGTCAGCAGCCAGCAGCGTCACCAGCAGCGTCAGCAGCCAGCAGCGTCACCAGCAGCGTCACCAGCAGCGTCACCAGCAGCGTCATTCCATCGCGCCAGCAGGCCAGCAGCGTCCAGTAGCAGTCGTGCACAGCCAGCAGCGTGCAGCAGCCAGCAGTCGGTCACCAGCAGCGTCCACCGCAAGCAGTCACCAGCAGGCGTCATCAGCAGGCGTCACCAAGCAGCGTCACCAGCAGCGTCATCAGCATGCAGTAGCCGCTCACCGGGTTTGGAGGGCCAGACCGTAAGCAGGTGCTTCATCACTTCGATCGGTCTTCCTAAAGTCGAGCACCCTGGCGCCGCTGCCGGGGGAGGGGCACAGCAGCAAGTCAGAGGCCGCCACGCACGGTCGCCAGACTTCTCCTCCGTCATCTTGTATGCGCTTCACTAAAGACGTGACCAGCGCCGCATTGAGATGGCTAGCACTCATAGTGAGTGTTGCCGTGCAACGAAGAGAGAGCGAGAAGAAGAGAGAGAAGAGAGATGAGAGTCAGACACGAAAAACAGAAAAAAACGTCGCGATCTGGAATAGTAATGCCTAGCCAGTACACGCAATAACGTCGGAAGATGGCGACGTGTAGTATACATAAAACGGTGAGCCCATTAACCGCGAGAAACACCAGCAGACGCGCCCCAGACTATGATTTGTTCCGACGGTGGCGCATCTATGGTTCATTCTAAAAATTATGTCACAATGAAGAACTACTCGGTATGCTAAGAGGCACTAATGAAGCTTCTAAAAAGGGAATTAAGTGAAGGCAACGGAGAGTATTAACCGGCGCTTAATCGCACCACGAGACATTAGACTCAGGACGGGAGAGGAGAAGCGGTTCATTTCGTCAACGCTAAGTAAGCCCCCTGGAATTGACATACGGATAAATGCTGTTTGAATGAACGCAACCGGGAATGACTTCGCTATAGAATGACATTCCGGACGCCAACGGTACTGGATAAAATCCCCGGGACGAAATATAGATGGGATAACGAACCGAATAGAACCTAATTGAGGAAGCATTCGCCGGATGGATAGCGGAAAGAGAAGATAGAGCCAGAAAGAGGGCCGAGGAGAGAGACGAGAGAGAGGAGGAGAGGGAGAAAAGAGAGAGAAGAACGAGAGAGAGAGATAGAGAGGAAGGGAGAGAGAGAGAGCAAGAGGGGAAAGCAAGAGAGAGAAGCGAAAGAAGATAGAAGAAAGAGCGAGGAAAAAAGAGAAAACGCGAAAGAGAAAGAGAGATAGAGAGACGAGAAGAGAGAGAGAGAGCGCGAAAAAGAGAGAGAGAGAGAGAGAACGCGAAAGAAGAGAAATAGAGAGAGAGAAGAGAGAGAGGAGAGAGAGAGAGAGAGAGAGAGAGAGGGGACGACCGAAGAAGAGAGTTAAGATTAAGCGAAAGAGTAGAAAGAGAGAGAAGAGAGAAGAGAGAGAGAGAAGAAGAGAGAACTAGATCGCGCGTTTCTTCAGCTCCGCGAAGCCAGGTCATACACTTGATGGCGTGTACAACCCTCATGTGGCATTCGCAGCAGTAGTGGACGGAAGCAGGCCAACGTGCCTGAAAACCGACCGCGAGCATCGCACAGCTCTCGGTACTGCAATTGCAAATTAGCTTCGTGCGCCCGAAGTCGGCGCCGCTCTATATGTACTCACTGTTTGGCGTTGCGACGTAACAAACCGTGCGCGAAAGAGAGATAGAGGGGAGAGAGTCGAGAGACCGGAGAGGAGAAAAGACAGGGAGGTCAGAGAGATGGAGGAGGGAGGGGAGGAGAAGAGAAAAGAGGAGGAGAGTGGAAAGAGGAAGAAGGAGAGCGAGAGAGAGACAGACTGGCACAGAGAGAGAGAGAAGAGAGAGAGAGAGAGAGAGAAGAGAAAGAGAGAGAGAGAGAGAGAGTAAGAGAGAAAAGAAAGAGAGAGAGAGTAGAGAGAGAGAGGAGAGAGAGAGAGAGAGAGGAGAGAGAGAGAGGGAGCATAAAGAGACAGAGAAATAGGGGTGAGTGAGAACAAGACAACTGAACGGAGAGAGAAGAGAGAGAGAGAGAGAGAGAGAGCGAGAGAGAGAGAGAGAGCGAGAGCGAAGAGAGAGAGAGAGAGAGAGAGAGAGAGAGAGCGAGAGAGAGAGAGAGAGAGAGAGAGAGAGAGAGAGAGAGCGAATGAGCGAGAGAGGAGAGAGAGAGAGAGGGAGGGGCAGCGAGGGGGAGGGAGGGGTGGGGAGAGAGAATGCGTCGGCGAGGCGACACACGTTGGGCGTGCCGACGCAGACGGACGTGACGAGTCCCACAGCACCATCTAGCGTACCCTTCGACAAATACGCGAGTTCGCAGTGCCGGTGTAGCATGGCGGACATCCCCCTGCCCATGGCAAACGTCCCCCCTCTACATTGCGCATGAGCGTTGAAGTTCAAACTTCATTGCTCAAGGGCGCCGTAGAGGGAGGGACGTTCGTCATAGGGCGAGAGGGCTCTACCATCGAACGGAAACGGAAATGGAAGCAACCGGAAGCAAGTCTATAATGGCGGAGTATTCGCCTAAAGTGTGGGCGTTTATATGTAACGCGCGCGTGGAACGTATTTCTTTTATGGTGTAGCAGTTTTCTTCTAACAGGGTGGAGGCTTTGTGACCGCGTTGACGGTTAGTAGACCGTTTCTGAAAATGTTTAACGGAGTTTTACGCGTGTGCACGCGCGCGTGTGTGTTGGGGTGTAGTTGTGTGAAAGTTTGCAACCCGTGTGTGAAGTATGTAATCGTCATGGTGCTACGTGCGAAATACTTGCAAAACCATCTGCTCCCACCTCACGTCAATCCGTTTTCATCCGCGCGCGCGTGCGCGCAACCGCCGGATCCGGATTCTCCAGTCCGGGATTCCCGCGAGGTGCAATCAGGCAGTGAGAAACAAACGAGTAAACTCGTTCGACAAGTTTAAAATCTCAATATACAGTAATGACGCCGCGAAATCCATTTGCTCGTCGTCACAGCGTAGCTGCGTGCGCGCCCCGCGGCTGCTGCCGGTTGCAAAACCCGGCAGAATACGCAGGAAGATCGATATCCGAGCAGCCCTTAACGCTCGGAGACAGTGTGTAAAAATCGTGATTGTATACTTACCAGACGTGACTCTTTATGGAAGAAATTTTGCGAGTGTGCTCGTGGCCGAGCGCGCGCTCGGCCGAGTACGCGCATTAGTGCCGATTAAACATTGATCAGCCGTCGGCGAGGCCACGCGTGCGTATCGCACGCTATTAAATACGTAGTAAGTTTCTAGTGAATAATTTTGTGTGTAGTTACACGTAGCACGTAATGAGCCTCGAGTTACGGCGTTACTCTTTTTCTCACACAATCACACGTACGCGCGCACACACACGCACGTACGCACGCACACATACACACACATACACATACAGGTACGTACACACACACACACACACACACACACACACACACACACACACACACACACACGCGCGCGCACACGCACAACGCATATGTAAGGAAAATTGGGGTTAATGTGGACACGATAGGTAATATGTGGCCAGACCGTAAGCAGGTGCTTCATCACTTCGATCGGCTTCCTAAAGTCGAGCACCCTGCCGCCGCTGCCGGGGGAGGGGCACAGCAGCGCCGGCCCCACGCACGTCGCCAGATTCTCCTCCGTCATCTTGTTGCGTTCACTAAATGACGTGACCAGCTTGAGATGGTCTAGCACCATAGTGAGTGTTGCCTGCAACGAGAGAGAGAGAGAGAGAGAGAGAGAGAGAGAGAGAGTCAGACACGAAAAACAAAAAAACTCGGCGATCTGGAATAGTAATGCTAGCAGTAACACGCAATAACGTCGGAAGATGCGACGTGTAGTATATAAACGCGCGCCGATTAACGCGAGAAACACCAGCAGACGCGCCGCCAGATGATTGTGTCCGACGGTGGCGCCATCTATGGGTTCATTCTAAAAATTATGTTCACAATGATGAACTACTCGTATGCTAAGAGCACTATGAAGCTGTCTAAAAAGGGAATTAAGTGAAGGCACGGAGAGGTATTAACCGCTGCTTAATCGCACCACGAGACATTAACTCAGGACGGGAGCAGAAGCGGTTCTTCTCAACGTAATAAGGCCCCCTGGGAATTACATATCCGGATAAATGCCTTTTGGATGAACGCACCGGGAATGACTTCCTATAGAATGAACATTCCGGGACGAACGTACTAGGATAAATCCCCGGGGACAAATATAGTGGGATAAACGAACCGAGATAGAACCTTTGATAGGAACATTCCCGGATGGAACGGGAAAGAGAGATAGAGAGAAAGAGGGCGAGAGAGAGAGAGAGAGGGAGGGAGGGAGAAAGAGAGAGAGAGAACGAGAGAGAGAGATAGAGAGGAAGGGAGAGAGAGAGAGCAAGAGGGGGAAAGCAAGAGAGAAAGCGAAAGAGATAGAAAGAGAGAGAGAGAAAAAGAGAGAGAACGCGAAAGAGAAAGAGAGAGAGAGAGAGAGAGAGAGAGAGAGAGAGAGAACGCGAAAAAGAGAGAGAGAGAGAGAGAACGCGAAAAAGAGAGAAATAGAGAGAGAGAGAGAGAGAGAGAGAGAGAGAGAGAGAGAGAGAGAGAGAGA